GCAGTCCCCGCGGGGCGCCGGCAGCCTCGGCCCCAGCTCGGCTCCCGCCACCCGCTCCGCACTCACCATCCGGGGCCCCGGCCGCCGCCATGATGATTGTGTACAACCCCCACCGCGCCCGCAGAGGCCGCCGGGAAGGAGCGAGCGGCCTGAGATTGGCCCCCGCGGCAGCCCCTAAGCGTGCACAGGCCGGCCGGAAACAGGTGGCGGTTTCTATGGAGACCCGCCTCCTCCGTTTCCCCGGCCCGGCCCCTGCCACGCTTTAGCTTTCCCGAGATGAGGGGGGCGGGTCCGAGAAATAGCCCGCTCGCCGCGCTCTGCCCCCTAGTGGTTGACGGCGGCGTCGGCCGTCCCAGGGGGCGTGGGCTTTCGGACTAAAGGACCTTTGCCTTTAAGGGGCGGGGTTGAGCCCGCTTGGCGGGGGCCGATTGGCTGGGAGGTGTGCCAGGAAGTGACGTAAAGAAGCCACGTGTGGCTACCGGCCCGCATGGCGGCGCTCTGGAAGAGGGTTGTGCAGCCGCGGACAGTGCCCGCGGCCTTGGCTCGCCCCAGGGGATGGCGCGAGGCCAGTTTGGGCGCCGATCTCGGGGGTGCCGTACGAGTGCGGTTCGCCCCCAGCCCCACAGGTAACCTGGGCGGGCGCGACGCTGCGGGCCTCGACCCCGCGCGGTCCCCGCCCCCGGAGCGCTTCTCGGCGCATCCCTTCCGGGTGTCCAGGGCCGGGCGGGGAGAAGAGGCCGAGGCCGAGGTGCAGGAGCCCGGGCTTTGGTTATGGCCTGCGGCGTCGCTTTCAGTCTTTTTCTTCGTGCGTTCGATAAAAGCGTATTCAGTATGATCTGCGGCGTGCGAGGCGCCGGGCTGCCGACGCCAGCCTCGTAGAGGGGTCTTGGTGACGCCGCCCGGTGCTGCGCGCGTGCCGTAGGAGCGCCACCACCGCCGGCGCTTGCACGCGCTGGGGCCCCTGCTCTCGAGGAGCTCATATTCTAGTGGCCCGGCAGACGCCTATGAAAAATTGTACACCGCGTGTGATGACACACGCCTATAACCCAGCCTTCTGAGAGGCCGAGGCAGGAGGGTCGCGAATTCAGGCTCAGCTTGCGCAGCAGGTGCGACACCGTCTCAGAAAGAAGGGGAGGGGTCGGAATGTAGCTCCGTGCTACGGTGCCAGCCCTGGAAAAAGCAAGTTTAGAGTCACATGTGCCGCGCAGTGTAGCCCCATGAAGCGCTGTAGGAGACCCGGGGTGAGACGGGGTGCTCGAGAATGCTTTCCTGACACGCTTTGGCTGAGAACCAAATGTCAATAAGGAATCGCTGCTGGGCCTGTTGGAGCACCCCTGTAATAACCAGCACTTGGAAGGCTGAGGCAGGAGGATTACCGTGAGTTCAAGGCCAGCCTGAACTGTAGAGTAAGGCTTTGTCTCATAAATAAGTAAATAAATAAAACCCCAAAACAATAAAGAATCGCCTTACGTGAAGCCTATAGAAAAAAACTGAGCAGGGGCTGGGGATTTAGCTCAGCGGCACAGTGCCTGGCTGGCAAGCCCGAGGTCGTGAGTTTGATTCCCGGTCCCGGAAAAAAAACTAAAAAAAAGAAAAAAACTGAGCAAAGGGGATGTCAACTACAAAGGCCCTGTGGTTAGTGTTGTTGGAAGCTTAGCAAGCCAGAACGGAAAGAGGCCCATTGAATAGCCCCACCATCTACCATGCTAGCTCCCAGCACTGCTTTCTTTTTTCCCCTTTCGTGACAGAGCCTGGCCTTGCAGTTCAGGCTGACCTTGAACGCACTGTGTAGCGCAGGAAATCCTCCTGCCTCAGCTTCTCAGTTGCTGAGATTACAGGTGTTCACCACCACACCTGGCCCCACTGTTCTTGTCTTATCAAGGTTAATATCAGCCCTCTTCACCCTGAGCATATTTTACATTCCATACCCCAGGATCTGCAGATAAAGATCTTTGTGGCAAAATCCCAGCTGGCACAAATGCCAGAATTTGGGGAGCAGACATGACAGCACAGAGCAGTGCTTCTCCAGCCACCTGTGCTGGAAGCTGGTTTTTAATTTCCAGTTGTGGACCAGTATTTGTGTAAAGTCAGTATAAAAGAAGTTCTAGAAACATGAAAATGTTGCAGACATACAAGATACAAGTCTTGCAAACATGTTGTAATAAAAGCTGTAAAAACCTATAAGCCTATTTCTGTTTATTTTTTTCAAAAGACAAAATGACGGTAAATTTCCAAATCTGTACTCTCTGTTTCTGTGGTACCTGTTGTCGCCTGGCAGCCGTTTGCACTCCAGCACTAGACTGCCCACTTTCCTTTGAGGGGCGCTCACCAAGGGTGCCAAGGCCTACGATTGTCTAGATACAAGTTTCTATCGCCCATCCCTAGATGGCAACTTGGGCAAATTACCTAACTCTCCTGTGCCTCAGCTTTGCCGTCTTGTCGAGCAGGGCTAATAATAGCACCTGTGGCATGGATTGGAGTCCGCACAGCTGAGCCATTTAGCAAGGTCTGATCCAAGTGGAAAGCATTTAATAAAGGGTGGCATCTATCAGGGTACTTGTGATTCACATTGCCTTGCTCATGTGTGGGAAACGCCCATGCGGGAAATGCTGCTGACTCCAGCCGGAATTACAAGCAACGTAGATCGGCGTAACAGCTGAAAGTAATCGAAGGTGTGTTTCAGTCAGCATGTAGCTGTCACAGCAACCCCATTGTAAAGGAGGTTCCTGCTTTTTTTCTCCCAGTACTGGAGTTTGAACCCGGGGTCTTTTTTGTTTTTGTTTTGGGGGGGGGTTTGGTTTTTCTCCGGTACCGGGAACCGAACTCATGACCTTGCGCTTGCCAGGCAAGCGCTTTTGCCACTGAGCTAAATCCCCAGCCCCTTGAACCCGGGGTCTTAACACTGAGCTACATTCCTACCCCTTTTTACTGTTTTTTACCTTGAGACAGGCTCTCGCTAAGTCACGGTGTAGCTCAGGCTGGTGTTGACCCCAGTCCCGTTGCCTCAGCCTCTCCAGTACCGGAATTACAGACGGTGCCACCGACCCCCATACTGGAAGGTTACTTTGTTTTTGTAAATCTTCCGACAGATGAAGAAATTGAAATTCATAAAAATTAAGTTGATTGCCCGAAGCATGGTAACTATTAAATGATGGATTGGCTTCCAGGTGGATATGATCTAAGAGGCCTCGTTTTCAGCTGCTAGGCCTGTCCTGGGACTCTGGAGCCTGTGCCGTTGAGTACAGCTGCTTTTGTGGTGGCCTTGCAGTAATCAACCAAATGTCACCCACACAGTGTGTTCAGCTAGGGTCTGCCTGACCCCAGAGGAGGGTTCCCTGTTCTGTGGCCGCACCTGGGAATGCGAGGGGCTCGTTGTGGAGACTCGGGCCTGGGCTGGGCCGAGCAGAGTAGGGGGTGGGGAAAGAGTAGCCCTGGGAAACTTGTTTTCAGTCAAGAAAGGTGAAAAAAAATCTTATGAGTTCTAACTCTGGTAAAGTAAAATACAGTGGAGTCAAATACTGCTTTTGGTTAGTTTTTATTTTGTTGTTGTTTTGAGACAGGGTCTTGCTATGTAGTTCAAGGTAGCCTTGAACTCACTATATAGTCTAGCCTGGTTGCAAATTCAAGGTACTCCTCCTGCCTCAGCCTCCTAAGTGCTGGGCTTGTAGGCATGCACCACTACACCTAGCTAAACACCAGTTTTAAATACTAACCAAGGTGTGGTGGTGCAGGCCTGTAATGCCACCACTCAGGAGGCTGAGGCAGGAGGATTGCTGGGAGTTTGAGGCCAACATGAGCTACATAGTAAGACCCTATCTCAATAAATAAGATTTAAGAGTACAAATCTTAAGGAGGCAAGATCCAAATTGTATGCTGTAGATAAGAGTGTATGGAAAATGTGATTTTATAGTATTTTAAATTTGTTTTTTGACCAGGTGTGGTGGCACACGCTTGTAATCCCAGCACTCAGAAGGCTGAGGCAGGAGGATCTCTTGAGTTCTAGAACACCCTTGGCTACATAGTGAGTTCAAGGCCAGTCTGAACCACATAGCAAGACCCTGGCTCAAAACAATAAAACCAAGAACTTCGTTTTTCACTTGTAATCAATCAGTACTTTTTTGGGGGCGGGGGTCTTTTTGAGACAGGGTTTCCCTGTGCAGTTCAGCCTGGCCTTGAACTCACTTTGTAGCCCAGGCTGGCTTCAAACTCATGACGATCCTCCTGCCTCAGCCTCCCAAGGGCTGGGATTATAGGCATGCAGCACAATACTCGGGCTTAATTTATTTTTTTGACCAGAGCATATTAAGTTTGCATGAGTTAAATATATTGTGATGCAGTTTCATTAAATAATCGTCTGCTTCTCCTTGAGGTGAAACTTGGCCAGAAGAGGACGATGAGCACGTTTAGGGAGAGTTGCGGCATTTTTGGGAGATGACTGCTCTGCAGCCGGGGTGGGCTCCTACTGCAGCGTGAGGGACTAAATGAGGCTGCCAGCCTGTCGTCTTTAGTTCAGTCTGGCTGGCTGGATACTGGCCAGAGGGGTAGGACAGACGCAGCCTTTGCTCGGTCTTTTCTGTTGGTTGGGGCGCTCTGTCACGAGCAGAGCTCATTTTCCCTCTCTTGTCTGAACTGTGCTTTTCTCCTGCCAGGCTTCTTGCACCTGGGGGGCCTCCGCACCGCCCTTTACAACTACATCTTTGCCAAGAAGCACCGGGGGAGCTTCATCCTGCGCCTGGAGGACACGGATCAGGCTCGCCTTGTGCCCGGGGCGGCGGAGAACATTGAGGACATGCTGGAGTGGGCCGGTGAGCCGGGCAGGGCAAGGACCCTGCTCGAAGGAAGGAGCAGGGAAGGGGGCTGTATCTCTCACGGGCTCCCGGTGGAGACTTGGGAGCTCCTGGCGCAGTGGGTGAACCTTAGCTGCCTGGGGTGGCCTGCGCCACGTGGGAAGGTGTCAGGGCTCTCTGAAGCCAGAGTCCAAGGCTGTCTTGGTGTTCCTTTTCCCTTTCTTTGTTTTTTTTAAACAGTAGCAAAGTTTCTGTGTATTAAAGAAAGGAGAACACAGGCTGGGCAAAGCAAGTCTGGGCCAAGTAAAGGTAGGAAAATGGAGAAAAAAAAATTTTTAATGCCCCTACTGCAGAAGGTGGGCTACAGTGAAGAGACACAATGGCTGGGATCTGTCTTCTCATCTCAGAACTCAAACCCATTTTCTGTGGGGACAGGCAGGAAACACAGCCGCTGTGGAAGCTGGAGGAGCAAGGCTTTGGTGCGCAGGAAGAAGTCGGGCTCCCCAGAGGCGGCAGCACCTCTGAGCTCCGGGCCCTGTGGTCCTGGGAATGCTGGCCCCTCTGGTCCAGCCTTCTGGGTCCAGGAGGAGCCAGCAATCTAGTGTTCTGGGTTTTTTTTCCCTTAATACTTTCCATTGTCAAATCTGGGCTCCATTTTTTTTTTTTTTTTTTTTTTAATTTTTTAAGTACACGGTAAGAGCCACACAAAATGTGTACAGTCTCTCAAGTCAGTCTCGTGGGACTTTCAATCCTGAGAATAGCTCGCCCCAGGGAGAACAAGGAGGTGTGTGTTCGTGTTTCCTGGATGAGGAAGCCCCTCAGGACAGGCATAACCAGTGCAGGTTAACATAACCAGTGCAGGTTAACAACCTTAAGGAGAAAGCCCGAACTGTTTTGAGATGTAGATTCTGTCTCAGGTAAATTGTTCACCTGACTCAGTTCCTCGGGGCAGAAACCTGTTTTATTTCTAGCTTCTCCTGTGCGTGTTAGCACACACTCATGTGGGGTTCATTGAGTGAAGGAGTTTACTCAAACGGATTACTTACTGTGATGCAAGTTTCGTTCCAGGTGGTGGGGACAGTGAGCAAAGACCCAGCACTCAGTGAACAGGGAGAGACAGATAAGCAATTCATTCTTTTCTTTTTGGTACTGGAAATCGAACTCAGGACAGTATGCTTGCCAGGCCGGCGCTATGCTGCCGAGCTGTATCGCCGGAAAAGAATTCATTCTTAAGGTGGCAGTAAGTGGGGGTAGAAGTTGTGGGGTAAGGGTAACAGGTTAGGGTACTGGGCTGAGGAGTGCTTTTCGGATGGCTTGTTCTCCTCGGAGGAAATACCGGCGGAGGCGCGCGAGTGAAGTGAGGGCTGGCCCTGTGATCACCTGGGGGAGGAGCGTTCAAAGCAGAGGCCGTGGCAGCCGCAGCCGTCGCGTGGAAAGGAAGTGCAGTACTGCGTGTATTTGAGGAGGGCCGGGGGCCAGCGTGGCCCAACGGTGAGCACGTGGGGTGACTGGGGAGCCATGGACAGAGAGGCGGCTGCGGTAGGAGTCAAACCATGCCGTGTACCTCCGCTCACCAGCTTACTTCTTCCCCCTGTTCTGGTTGCGAAGGGATGGCAAGCGTGTGGAATGCATTCCGCAGCTGGGGTCGTGGGAGGACGTAAACTCGGGAGCCACAGCGGCGCTGCAGTGCCGTGCAGGCCAGAGCGAGGACTTCAGCTCCTGGCCTGCTCGCTGCAGGTCGGAACTGCTGGGCCTGAGGCCGTAGGGCCACCCTCACACGGTCCCGCTGTGTGCTGGGGCCTGCGTCGCCGCTGGAGCTCTTCCCTCCCAGCACTCCGGCAGAGCAGAGGCCAGGGTCCAGGTACCCTGGGGTGGCTGACTTCGGAGCTGCTCTGTTTGGGAGTCACTCTTTTTATGTTTTTAACGTATCATTCACAAACTTTGAAATTCACCATCTTGAATTCTACAGTTCAGTGATTTTTACTGTACTCACTTTGCTGTATGTCCACCACCAATCCCAGAACATTCTCGCAACTCCAAGAGAAACCCTGTACTCACTGGTAGTCACCTTCCCCGGCCTGTGTGAGCGCCAGTCTGCTCCCTGTCCCTGTGGGTTTGCCTCCTCCAGGTATTTCACGTAAATGAGGTGATGAGACGTGTGGTCCTTTGTGCCTGGCTTCCTTCATTTATCATGAGCTCCGTCTGGCTGGTAGCATAGACGAGTGAGCAGATCCTCACGATGTAGCGTACCGTTGTGTCGATATGCTACATTTCCTGTATCCATCCACCCAGGGATGAGTATTTGGGTTGTCTCCACGTTTTGGCTCTTACGAATAAAATTGCTGTGACCATTTGGGTGCAGATTTTGTGTGAACATGTTTTCAGCTCTTACAACTTTCTGGAGTCACTTTTAAACTTGCAGCCGTCCTTCTGCCTCAGCCTGTGAAATGCTGGGATTATAGGCATGTGCCACCATGCCCAGCTTTCTTTTTTCATTTTCTTCCAGTACTGGGGAATGACCTGAGGCCCTTTACACTTTAAAGAGCCTTTCCCTGCCATGTGTGGTGGTGCATGCCTGAAATCCCAGCACTAGTGAGGCTGAGGCAGGAGGATTCCCATGAGTTGAAGGGCTAGCCTGGGCTACACAGTGAGTTCAAAGCCAGCTTGAACTGCATAGCAAGACCTTGTCTCAAAAAACCAAAACAGAAAAAGAACCCATCCCTTTTTAATTTTCATTTATTTATTTATTTGTTTAATTTTTTTCTTGTCATTTTGAGACAGGGTTTTGCTATGCACTTCAGGCTGGCCTTGAACTCACAACGATTCTCCTGCCTCAGCCTCCCCGAGTGCTGGAATTACAGGCATGTGTGCCACCACACCTGGTTTTGATTGATTGATTGGTTGATGGATTGATTAAGATAGGGTCAGGCTGACCTTGAACTTGTGATCCCGCTGCCTTAGCCTCCCGAGTGTGGGATTGCAGATGTGCACCACCGTGCCCAGCTTCTGTTGTTAGAGTCTGACTCTGCACGGAAGAACTCTACACCTAGTGCCTCTTTGGCACGGTCGCCTGTGAACCATTTTGACATGACGATGAGTGTTGGATGTTACGCTACCTACAGTGCTGGGTTTAAAAAGAAAGCAAAGGAGCACAGTGCCTGGGAATGGCTGCTGTGCGTCCAGGGGCTGTCGTCTGACGGTGGTTCTCTGCCCGTGTCCCAGGCATCCCTCCTGACGAGAGCCCGCGCCGGGGAGGTCCTGCGGGGCCCTACCGGCAGTCGCAGCGGCTAGAGCTCTATGCGCAGGCCGCAGAAGCACTGCTGAGGACAGGAGCTGCCTATCCCTGCTTCTGCTCTCCGCAGCGGCTGGAGCTCCTGAAGAAGGAGGCCCTGAGGAACCACCAGACACCACGGTAGGAGCCCAGCCCCCGGGGGCACCCCAAAGTCGAGTGTGTTTGTTGTCTACTGCTGCAGAGTCAGTGCAGTGGTGAGACAGTCAGGCTTCTTGGAGATGCCTAGGGGCTTGGTAGAGCTCGCGTCTGGATGTGTCGGGGTGGTCAAGGAGGTGTGACCCGGTCCCTTGCCCTGTCCTCTGGGCACCGTTTCGCTCTGCTTCCTGCCTGCCTGAGGGAAGCATCTTTGCTCTGCCACGCCCTCTGCTGCGATGTTTCTGCTTTAGAGCCAGACGCCTGTGAACCACTTTGACAGGGCCATGAGTGATGGAGGTTACAATATATTCGATGCTGTGTTAAAAGAAAAAAGCGCAGTGCCTGGGAGTGGGTACTGTGTACATCTTAGGTGATGAGCACGGACTGAATCTCCTTAAACTGTGAGCCAAGTTAAACCGCTCCTCGTTGAGGTTGTGGGTGTCAGGTATTGTGTCGGCAGCAGGAAGGCTCGCGGATACACCCAGCCGTCTACACTGTTTGGCCTACAGTTTCTGTGCGTCAGGCACCTGGGCACAGTTCTCTGAAGAGGACTGCAGCGGGCAAGTGGGAAATTCAAAGGGAATTTTCCTCCTTGTAGCTCTTTCTTACCTTCATTTGGTTTGTTTCTTTGTTTTTTTGAGACAGGGTCTCACTATGCAGTTCAGGCTGGCCTTGAGCTCACTTTATAGCCAGGCTGGTCTCGAACTCACAACGATCCTCCTGCCTCAGCCTCCCAAATGCTGGGATTATAGGTGAGCGCCACCACGCCTGGCTCTTACCTTCATTTGGAAAGACCTTTCCTAGAACCTCGGCCCGCCCTACCCCCTAAGTGCATTTTTCTTTGACTGCTGATTAAAATATGATTCTATTCCTACCTGAACTGGTCACTGATATCAGGTGAGGGCATTGCAAGATTGACTGTGACAATCATCATTCAACCCCTCAGGCTAAGCATTCTGGCATTTGCTCATTAACAAGGGGAAAGGAAAGAGTAGCTGGTTAGTGGGTTAGTGTCAGGTTAGACCCCAAGTAGCAACCAAGAGCACCGGGACAGGCAGGACTGAAGCAAACGGTGGTGTCCTTATTTCAGGCCGGTGCAGCTTGGCCAAGGGCGAGAAGGCAGTTGGCCCCAAACAAAGGAAGGGGGCCGGCTTTATAGATTAGTTTAGGTGTGGGAGCGGGAGTTCCACCGAGGAAGATGAAAATTTAAGTTTCTCGGGGTGATTGGTGGGCCTGGTGCCTCTGGGGGAGGGAAGTGCAGGAGGACATCCATGGTGCTGACTTACAGCGTGGCACTCTGTAGACTTACGAGGTTTCCCGTGAGCCTGAGAACCAGGCCTGGGAACCATCGTGGTAAACAGATTTACCTTAGTCTCTCGAGCTGAGTGAGGGGCTTCCTGTGTGAACAGCCTGGCTGGCTGGCGGAGTTCTTCTCTTCAGGTTGGGTGGGGTGTGTGTGCGGGACCTAGCAGACACTAAGCCCTCAGTGTCTGCCCCACCATTATCTCACTTGGTTTTTCCACACGACCGCCTTGTTACCCTCCCCATTCTAGACGGAGGAAGCAACTTGCAGAGGTAAGTGGCTTACTCGGGGTCCCCGAGCTCTCAGAGACGAAGGCGGGGCTCCTGTCCAGCAGCGGTTCTCGTAGCTGCTGTGTTGCCTTGCTTCCCAACAGGTACGATAATCGGTGCCGGAACCTGAGCCAGAAGCAGGTGGCCCAGAGGCTGGCCACAGACCCCAAGCCTGCGATCCGCTTTCGCCTGGAGGTGGAGGCACCGGCGTTCCAGGACCTGGTGTATGGCTGGAATCGGCACGAGGTGGCCAGCGTGGAGGGGGACCCGGTCATCCTGAAGAGCGATGGCTTCCCTACGTACCACCTGGCCTGTGTGGTGGACGACCACCACATGGGCATCAGCCACGTGCTGCGGGGCTCCGAATGGCTCACCTCCACCTCCAAGCACCTGCTGCTCTACCAGGCGCTGGGCTGGCAGCCGCCCCACTTTGCCCACCTGCCCCTGCTTCTCAACAGGGACGGCAGCAAGCTGTCCAAGAGGCAAGGGGACATCTTCCTGGAGCACTTTGCTGCTGCTGGCTTCCTACCCGATGCCTTGGTTGACATCATCACAAACTGCGGCTCGGGGTTTGCAGGTACCCGCTCATCCGCGCAGTTGTGGCGGCAGGGGCTTCGCTGTGGGCAAGCGCGCTGTCAGTCCCAGCCTGGCCCCTGGCCGCCACCTGATCTTAGACGAGTTCATGGTGTTATCCAACAAATGTTAATCAGGCCGGGCAGCCTGTTGAGTGCTGGGCTCCAAGCGGTGAGAACTGTATGCGTAGCCCCTGGCCCCAGAGAGCTGAAAGTCTCGGTGGCCTCCTCCGCGCAGCGGGAGTAAGTGGCCACCTCTTCAGTTAGGATCTGCCGAGCTCAGGAGCGTGAGGCCGCGGCGCAATTCCTGCCACCCAGTAAGCGCAAAGCACGGCTGCTGCGGTTACTGCAGGTACACAGGTGTGTGCTCGGTCAGCAGTGTTAGCAGTGCCACTGTGACTCCAGCTAACCCTAAGCCAAACCCTTGAGCCCGGCCCAGGACGCAGAGCCCAGGCTCGGAAGAATCGGCGTGCAGTGGGATGGCGGCTTGCGGCAGGAATTTCTGCAAGCGAGGCAGTGGTGGCCCGTTCACTGTTCATTCTGTGCTCATGTCATTAGCCCCTAGAGTGTCCTCGAGGGGTAGGCATTTGTTATCCCCACTGTGAAGAAGGCGTTGTGAGGCTCAGGCTGAGTCACTTGCGGACGTCACACAGTAAGGGATGTGGGACTAGTCCTGTGGCTGACCGCAGTGCCTGCCGACCTGAAGCAGCTGCCAGCCCTGCAGTTCCCAGCGGGGCTGCGCTTTAGAGGGAGCTTGTAAGGTACACGGACCCGACCCTGCTCAGAGCTGGTCACATCCACATCTGAGGTATAACCAGGCAGTAGGCCCACTGTGCTTGTAGCTTGTGTATTTTAGGATAGTGAGAATTGATTTCACCTGAGTGTTTTTAGATTGTTTCCCATAGTGACGTGACAGAATCCTTTGTGGCAATGAAAGCTCATTTGGGCCCTTGATTTATAAGTAGCTGGAAGTCAAATCCTTCAGGTCAAAGTAGAGCGACTCATTCACTGAGCCTTCCGTGGGTTTAAAAGTGGGCAGGAGAGCTGGGCATGGCAGTACCCACCTGTAATCCCAGCACTTGGGAGGCTGAGGCAGGAGGAACATGAGTTAGAAGACAGCCTGGGCCACATGGCAAGTTCTAGAACAGCTTGAACTATATAACCAGATCTTGTCTCAAAAGAGAAAACTGGACAGAGCAGGGCATAGTGTACACATCTGTAATCCCACTACTTGAGAGACTGAGGCAGGAGGGCCACAAGCTTGAGGTCAGCCTGGATAACCTAGCAGGGCGGTCCCAAAATTAAAAACAAGCGGGGCTGGGGGATGTAGCCCAGGGGCAGAGCAGGTGCAGTCCCCAGTACACAGCAGGGGGCACGCATGGTGATTACTCAAGTCCCAGCACTCAGGAGGCTGAGGTGGGCGGATCCTGTGAGTGCAGGAGCTAGGGACAGCTTGGGCATCAGAGCTAAACTCTGGATGCGCATCTCAAAACGAAAGTGAAGGGAGGAAGGGCGGGCAGAAGCTGAACAGCGGGGTCCTCGCTTACAGAGAACCAGATGGGCAGAACCCTGCCTGAGCTGACAGCGCAGTTCGACCTGGCCCGGATCACCTGCCACTCAGCCCTGCTGGACCTGCAGAAGCTCCCAGAGTTCAACAGGTGAGGGGCCTGGGTCGGCGGGGCCT